ATAAATTATTCATCCTGTGTGTTGGAATGAATTATTCATTCAGGGTGGTCTCGAATTGGAATAAGTAACCCTGAACCACACATACAACAAGTAAGTATAATTTTTATTGCTCGATCACTGGAATAAGTAAAAAATAGTATTTTCCCTACCTCTGAGTGCAGCGACGATGGTGAACAGAGGAGTGGTGCAGAGGACTCCTTTATCATCGCTGTACTTCACTCTCCTTTGTAGACTCTTCACTGTATTGCTCCGACGCTGCACTCTACTGCCTGCTGACACCGAGTGGCTGCCCTTCCATGCCTTTGACAGCGGGTCCAGTACGCTATCATGGCCGCGTTAAGTGCACCTCCCATGTTGTCGTGTCTTGGCAACCAGTGTACTTTTAACCAATCGTATGCATTTATTGAAGTATTTATAACCAATGAACTGTGTGTGACCTGTAGTATAATTTGGGGAGGTTTTGGTTGTACCTCATGATGCAATTTCTGGCGCATCGGCTTCGACATGATAAAAACGAACCCTATCCGGATGCGAAATGATCCGGAAATGGTGTTTGCGGAGACCTCCAGTCCCCAATAACGTTAGTTTTTACTATTGTGCTTTGCACTTGTTTTGGCGTCGGTTTTACGTGGCTAAAAGAGTGGTACATCTGCTGTAACTGTGTTACAAAGTTGAATAAATATTAATACCTGGTGTTTTAGCTAATTCACTGGGGTTTTATAAATACCTAATAACTCTGAGCAATAATAATCACATGTGATGCTGAAGTGACCAAAACACCTTGGCTGTTATTCCATCGCGTAGTACGCGCTACCTGCATGTACTATGCGATGGAACAAGAAGATGGCGTGGTTTTCTACGATGTGGCACCATACGTATATCGCTGTACGGTACAAAACAGGCGCATGTCCTCGCTGTGTGTCATTTGTAATATCAAAAGTTGTTCGTGGTGACCAGTGAATTGTGCAATTTGGTCCCGAGAATAGCAGATATAACTTCGATTTGCACTTTTCAAATGTGCAAAAGCGAGGGAGTTGCATAAATGACCTCCCTATAATTACATTCTGTAACGAAACGTGATCCTAATTCACTGTACGGATTATCTAAAACACTGGGGTCGATGTAACAAACACCCAGGTTT